ATTTGATCAGATTCATCCATTCGGTGTTGATTTGTCGTACAGCAGGTACAAGAGGCAGCAAAACGCACCTGTTACGACGCTTTTGATCAATTGTATCTAATCCTTTTCGAATCAGATTAACATCATAAGTAAAGCAGTTAGGACGAAAACACAACTGATCGCTTCTGATAACATAAAAGCTTTTGTCAATATTGGTCCTGGTATGTTGGTCCCCTGATGCAAAAAAATATGCTCCTGTAATCAGTTTATAACAAACTGCAATTTGCAAATATTCCCCTATTAAGCTTTCTATAAGCTGGTCTGAAGCTTGTTTCATTTCGGGTTTTACGAAACGAATCTGCCTCATATTTTTCAACTTTGTTTAGGTTAGATGTAGAACAAGGAAAGAATATCTCAAACGCTTGACAAAAGTAATGTTTAATTCTAGAATCCGTCCGTTTCTAGAATGAATGAAAGTATCATTTTGAAGAATCTGTTCTTATCAGCGTTCTACATGCATTTTACTAATATAATGTATTTACAATCCATCTGCCCTAGAGGTCGGTCAAAAAAATCGCTTGAGTAAATTGACAAAATGGCTCGATGTGCATAACATAAAGCGCGTATGTTTTAGATATCGTCCTAGCCTAATCATGGATAATGCCTGATATGCAGTTCAATCGATTTTTGCTGAAGCCATAGAATTAGTCCAGCTCATCAAGGTTATCCGAATAGTGAAAAGGGCAAACATCGCTATATTATTCAACTAAAAATGTTCTATGCAATGTTGACAATACTAAGACTACAATACAGACTAATGCATAGTATGTGAATATTATATATATATATTTATGCCATTTGCCGTTGTCAAACCTGTCACCTCCGTGCTGAGTTCATTATTTAAATCCGTGGCTAGTTTTTGGTCAGAGAGTATCATAGTATATACAATTCGAAAACTAAGTATAATAGCAAAGCGCAATTTGAGCACACGCAACTAGAACAATACCCCTCTACAAAGAATATAACCTTATCTATCCGTGTAAGTTATCGTGCTTGTGAATATTCACTATTAGTTCATTGAGACATTTCCCGCGGGATCGTTTGTTCGTTCTGTGTCAGTTGACTGGACTGCTCTGAATGTATCGTTGCGCCAGTGAAGGCTCTGGTTGTGATGCGGCTTCCGAACGTGCAGGCCACCTATACCTCATATAAACACTGACCTTTTTCAAAAACTTACCTCCTAATACGTCAATCAAATTACTTATTATTTTGCACAATTCACAACATCACTTCTTTTCATATATTCAATATGAATTATAAGTAACACAGCAGGCCACTGGGCCAAAAACAGTTTAATACAAAATGGCACAGGTCGGTCTCCCCTTCGGGAAAGAGTCACAGATCTTGACTCATAATTGAAACTTCGTTCCATATAGGACCGATTTTTTCTAATACAATAATGCAACTATTTATATGCAACTAGCGAGTTCTAACTGCGAATCACTAAATACAATAGCTGCGAACTAAGTTCATACCATGAAAAACGAACTGCGAGTATACTATTTGTTGGGAGCTGTGTGCTGATGTCGTCTGCTAGTAATCGAGCTATTCGAATCGGACACCTGTGCTGATTCCTCTTTAATGTTTATTAAAATATTTAGAGTGATGCATTTTGATCGATCAGTGATTTTTGTAGCATCTCACTACTGAAGCTTTGTGAGCTCGAATTATGGGGATACGTCTGAAACTATGTTTCAGAACCATAATGCACCGTAGTGAAAAATAGCTTTATATGATGTTTATCGATACCTATCTCTATAGTTCGAAAGAGCAAGTTGCTATGACAAAGGTTATTTTAGTTATATCTAATGCATTCATAGTTCCTTTCGTTTATGAAGTTGACCTTTTCGTTTTTGCGCACATATTAAACCCTGCGTTTAAATTTGCGATGGAGATTGTCAACTATCACTAACGAGTTAAACATTTTACTTGGTTCTCCTGACTGATATAGAGATTTTTGTCGGCGCATTTTTCGCGGCACGTAGCGTGCACACGTAGGTGAAAGCAGCGTTTGGATGAATAAATCGAAAAAAGGATGACAAAACAGCAAGTTTACAAGTTTTATAGCTAAAAATATTATTTATAATAACAACTTCACACATTCATTTACTATAAAACTACCAAGCCTCGTCTTGGGTCTTTGGGACGTCATCTATAGAATTGTGTAGAATGCTATTTAATCAATTCGAAGTATGCCTTTTATTGATTTCATTCTGTGACACCTTCTGTGTCATAGACGAGCTTTAAACCTATAAGCTGTATCTTGTTTGTTCTGAAGCTTAGTCATCTTTACATTCGTGTTTTTTTCGCTGAACGATTTTTAAAACTATACCCAACCAGAAGACTAAGTTGTGTACCGGTAAACTGTGTAACGAACGCAAAAAAGAGTGGAAAAATCGATTATACAAGCTCAAGTGAAAGGTAAAAATAACAAAAAGTATTCTCCCCATCTAAATTTTAGGCATTGAATACGTCGAGTTTTTTAAGTAGAAGGCGTGTTGTGTTCTGCTTTGGCTTAAAGTCAGCCGCTTGAGATCATCGGTATAATTCTCTGATATCTTAGTTGCATCTATAGTGTCTGATTTCACTACAATTTTGATTATGACGGATGTATCTATCAGCCTGCGATCAAAGCGGGCACTTTACTATAGGCATTAATGGCAGCCGACATAGATGTGTACAGTTTTTGTGTAAACATGTTTGATTATGGCCTATTCTTAAAATCAAAGCCAAACCCATTTATCTAAAAAAAGTTACTGTCTGGGTTGTTATTTTCTGTTCAGTTTGGGTTTTATGAATATTCCGTTTTACTTTGTAGTGTCAAATGAAGCTTGATGAATCTTGACTTTGAGGCTTTTATGGCAACCTCTACAAGCCGATCTCGATGAGTTAAAATTGTTATATCGGCATGGAAAGTGTACCGAGTGTAGTAATTGTTTGGCTTATGAACTCTATGTAAGGGGTATTTTTTTTTGTATGACCTGAAAGCTCCCGACAAATTGAATTGAAATTTAATCTATATTGTAGTCAAATTGTAGTTTTCAAATCGGAATTACCGTTTAGTCATCATGATACTCTATGTAAAAGGGGGTTCTTTTCACACTATTCGATATATATACACGAGTTAATCAGAAATCCGATATTTCTATCTTTATAAGAAAATTGAACATGGCGAACGCCATTGACAATTGGCCGTATAGGTTTACCTATATAACAATGGGACGAAAACGTCTTGAGCTATTTGTAAGATGGTTTTTTAAAGTGATTTTCTAATACATGTTAATTGATTCATATTTCGGTGAATCCTTTTCTTGAACTTATTTTCGATAAAAAAAAAACTTGAAAAAAAGCAAAATGTTGCAAAGATATATGTGAATATCGATTAATAAAAAACATTTTAGAGCTTGAGAGACTATCCAGGGACATAGTTAATACACCAATCGAAATGTATCAATTCAAGTGTGTATATATATATATATATAGAGTGAATTATGTATATTTATTATACATGTCTAATTACTTACTAAAAATAAAAATAAAAGGGCAAAAAAGTCCTGGTGACATCCCTCGAATAGAGTAGATATTCATCTGAAATAGCATTTGTAAGGATTCCTTGCGAAAAGGTGAAACCAAGGTGAAAACTCTTAGTATTGCTGATTTCCTAAGCATAGAATTAGTCTTCGTTTAATGCAGCCTTTGTAAATGTTATGATAGAACAAAGATAAAAGAAACCTTCTTTTTATTTCAATCAGAAATTTATCAGTAAAGCAAAACAAACCTTAAAAAAAAGCTCTAATAGCATCGTAAAAACAGAATAAGTTTTCATTTGATGTAGTATGCATATTTCTAATAGAAAAAAAAACAGAAATTATGAAGATTCTCAAATCTGCGTAACGTCACTCAGATAAAACTATTAGGTCTACCCACTCTCTCAAAGTATATTAAATGTTAGCCAAAGGCCGACTTTTTCACGTACGCTGACGAAAGGTTGGCCCTATTAATGTGCGTGCTGACAACAGAATCATTTCCAAATGGCATATAGCCTTGGCGTCAGTCAGTCCCCCACATAAACTGGCATTACCTCCAGTTCGGTTTCGTTGGCGTCCAGTTGTAATCAGACCTCCACATTCTGCGGAATGTGGCACCAGACGGGCAGTGGTCTTGGATTGCAACAACCGATAGGCCTCGTCGTAGCCTGCGTTCGAGATGAAGCCTTTCGCATTGGCCACGGCTTAGAACGGGTTTGCAAACCGCAAAATCTTAGTTGAACTACCGGTAGTAAGAGGCTATTCCTAGGAAGCTTTTTAATCCCCCGTAACCCAAGCGGAAGGGGGCACGGTTTTCATGGCCTTTCTTGAGGAAATTGCAACGGCCATGATCTTGTGGCCTTTTTGGGTAGCTAAAGTACATTTCTTTGTTTTCAAACACAGGCCGATGGAGTCAATAATCGCTAGTACTTTTTGCAGATGAGTTGTGTGGGTGATAGCACATGAGTAAATTAAGACATTGTCGAGGTAGACGAGAGCCTTCTGGCATCTCAAAACCAGCAACGATTTTGACCATTAGCCTCTGGAAAGTCGAAGGTACGGTAACGAGATCGAATCGCATGCACTCGTGCAGAAGATCGTATCCTTTTGGCCATCTGAGTGTTTACTCATCTACCGATATCCTTTGGTTAGGCACAGTAGCGAATACGGCCGAAAACATCGATAGCATAGTCCATTCAAAGCAGCGGGTACACGGTTCCTTTCGTGATAGAACTTAGCCTATAATAGTCAAAGCTGAAACCCACCGTCTCGTCTTTTTTTTCTCACCAGAGCTACTGGAAAGGACCACGGGATAGATGATGGCGCCATAATGCTGTCGCGGAGCATAGTTTAATTTTTATCTTTTATGACCTGCCGTTAGTGCAATCCGCTTTGATTGGGAATGGACCGAAGGCAACTCGCCGGTCTGAATCGAATGCTGAACTAAAGCGCTATGGACGGTTCTGGGTGATTGTTAGACGAGATGGCCGTATATGCGTATAAGAAGCCTCAGGAAACAGCTATGTTGCTTCTTTGCCAGTCCCAAACCTAGCCTGAGAGATCTGCTGTCATTTAAGAAAGGGGAATCCTGTATGTTCGAGCCAGCCCCATGAATCTCTTCTAGCTTGCGCTTTATTTTTGCTGGGCGGCGCTATGTTTCATCTAGTTTCATTTTAGTGATAATACTGGTTTGTTTGGACTGCTATGCACATTGCTGCCCTTTGTAATATGACGTATCCCCAATGACTCTACAGTAAAGATGACAAGTGGGTAATTGTCTTTCTCTTTAAAATGCTTTGGCATGCACTTTGCCATAGCAGGCGTGCGTTCATCTGCCATTCTTGAAAAAAAAACTAGAACAAAATAACAACAGCGGAAAACAGTACGTTTTCTTCAGAATTTCATCAATATTTATCTTATCTTTTTTCACTGAACGAACCCACCACTCAGATTAAAAGTATATTTTTTTAGTGAAATTTTCTTTTTACACTAGTTTTTTTACATGCTAGTTTTTACACGACTTTTGGAGAATGCGATAAGGAGTTTGAGGAGGCAAACCAGAAGACCCCAAATACGGTCTGGATTTTAAAGGTTCGAAAATTAACCGAATTGGCTTAGACATTTACGCTTTTTTACATGAAAATTAACGGTCGTTTTAGAAAAAAGAATATGAATTGACCATAGCGTCGTCCAGATAAGCTCCAACAACTAGTCTTTTAAGAGCCTTTGCGCCTTTTTTCACCCTTAAATTTTTTGACCGTCTTAAGCTTTTGCATTTTTTAGACGACACTTCATAGTAGGTGCAATGTTGTTTGTTACAATATCTATTTTTGTGTATATTTTAGAAACGACTTACGAAAAAATCCGGATTTAACGTTCCACTCTGTACATGTAGCACTTATGTTATTCATAACGTACTTTAAAATCAGATGAGTGCAGCCGAGTTTTTTGGCAAAGAAAAGCATTTTGCGACTTTTCAAGGCACTAAATGTAAATCGCCGCTAACTTGTGATGAAGGTGATATTCGTCCCTTTGGCATTAAGGTGTGAATGCTGCGCTGCAGACAGGATAATCGAGTTAGCCAGAATACCTCTGTTAGCGAAGTAAGCGATGTGTGCTTAGTCTAGTTTAATAAGTCTATATCAGATGAGTAAAGCAATGAAACAATATGCCACATCATCGTGTAGATCACGGTGCAAACAAAGTAAGACTCTGTGTATAAACAAACTGACAACTTACTGACAAACGATAACTTACAATGCCAAAAACAGGCGCAACGGAAAAAGAATATTTGTATTCATGGTTAAAAGAACCCTTTTATGCCCTCCTTTTTGAATATAATAATTAGGCACCAATAACCTACATATTAATTCATTGTTGCGTAAATAAGACATTCTACATAATTACACAATCGTATAAAACACTGATTAAGGTTTTGAAATTAAGCTTCTCATAACGTATACAAAAGGAACAATGAGATAAAGGTACGAAAGGTTGATTACAAAACCATCAAACTTTAATTAATATTTCGCGGGTTACGCAACTTCCCAAACAACCTGCACGATGGAAAATAAAGGAGTATACCTTTAAAAAGGGTAACACTATTAGTCTTCAGGTATCCCTTGAAGTTAGTTTTTTGGGTTAACTCGTGCATGTTAAGTGGTACAATATTTCGCAGTGCTCTTCTACAAGCAAACTGGAAACACAGATAAGAAGTTGTTTTTAAACACTGGCAGGGATGTTGTCGTTCTACAGGCGATATATAGTAGGACGTTCGGTGTGAGTATTTTAAATAATGCGTGTTTGGTGTACACGTGATTTTCAGCAAATCACCAATTTCATGGATCCTTCGTTTATAATACCCAAATATATTGAGCTTCCTTTAAGACTTTCTGAAAGCAAGACTTTTACAACTTATGAGCTTAAAGATTAGATTAATCATTTTCGAATTTTGATGATGTGAAGGACTTTTTGGGCTGTAGAAAACATTGGATTCAAAAAGAAACATAAAAATAAGCTAATAATAATGAGTTCATAATGTGTAATATGTTCAAATTGTGAAACGTATGCTTGTTTGAATTTCTACAAGTACAAATGGATTATCCTATAGTCGATGCTATTTAGCCCAGCACAAAAGTGAAACAACTAAATAGAAATTATTTCCACATAAGAAATGAGCCTATCGAGATACATTTATGTTGCACGGTTACCTCTATTCAATAGCCGCATTCAGCACCCTTTTCTTGCACCTCAGATGTGGGATGTCCCTCTGTTTTCTTGCAACCTTAATTTTTCGTTCGACACTTCGTTCGGTACAATAAAAAATCTCATTTCTATCAGTTTTTTAGCCGGCTAGGTAAGTAGAACCGTTAGTTTTTTTTATATCGCCATGTCTGTCATCCTAGCATTTGCATGATCGAAGATGAGGGCATCTCTGTTACTTGCTATATTTTCTTTTTTAAATCAGATTCCTAAAATGTGTAATATGGTTTATAATATTCATGGATATTACTTTTTCTATTATGGCTGCATAAGACATCTCCTCGGCATTAGTGCTTTCTAGTTCAAGCGATTTTTTGCTTTGGAATTCTTACAGCGCAGGATATCGAAATTTTACCAGAACCTCTCTGATAGCTACTCAGGTTTAATGTCGAACAGTAAATTCTCGGTCTATTGTTATTTGTCCGTGAGAAAACACAAATTCATCACCCTACATATTAATTAGGCAAAACGCGACCTTTCGACATATTAGATACTAGCGTCGAATTATCAAGCCTTCTAGACAGCTTTGCTAGATTTGTCCTGTCTTTAGTCTCTTCCTGTTTGTCAGCTTTATTCAGCATAATCATTTGATTTCTATGTCCCCCTTTTTACTTCGTACATAGAAGTAAATTTAGTTCAATAGCTAAAGTTGTGAGACTGATGCATTATGTACGATATATGCATATGTGCATTTGTAGAAATAACGACAACTATTTTGGGGGCATAATCAGTATTATTTTATTAAATTCTTGCCGCTCTTCATTTTCTAAAATGGCGCCATGGGCATTGTAACTTTTTCTTTTTGAGTTAAAACTCTTTTTAGATTAGATTTGGAATTAGTGCAAGATCGATGGTAGCTTCTGCGTAAATCGTGTGTCTTCTTAAAGTGTGTACGGTCCATGTTTATCTTTGATGATAGTAATTTCGTCTACCACTTTGCCTTCTTTAATTGCAGACAACTGCTGCAGTGTCAGGTGGGTTGCATTGTGGAGCTTCATTCGCGTGTAGCCATAATCCGAGATCCGTACTGCACTCCAAGGAGCAGGCTTCTTCACAAAGGGGTCAATATTCTCTTGACATCCCGCTGAGCCTAAAGTAGAATAAAAACACGAAGCAACTCAATAATGTTTACTTGATGTGATTTAGAACGCTTCTTAGTGAAGGAGCGTACTAAATCCCTTTCTTTTTGATGTTTATGTATTTCAAGCCTATCCAATTCAAATAGGTTCAAATGCACTCAATATGGATACTCGGGAGTTTAATCTCACTGATACATTTACACTAATTAAAACAAAGTCTGTATTTTTTAATGTACTAATATTATAGTGGTAGGTGACTGCTATAGGGGGATATTCTTACCTGCCGTTTCCATAACGGTGTTCACTTGAGGTATTTTAAGTACCGAGAACGAGAATAGCTATAATTGGCTACCCAAGCAAGGTTTGAACCACTGAGTTTTTTTTTAGTTGAACTGTGCATCAGCAGGCATGTGGCGCATTGCAGTTACGTACCTCGATCTATGCCAGTTATAGTACTCAGTATAGTAAGAGATTTGAAGCGAGCCGCTGTTATACCGACTCCCATTCAGTCCATAACAAGCTTTTTGGGTTTAGGGATGAAAATATCACAAAGTAAGGCTTTATTTGCGCGAGGTCTATTAAGTTAAATGTAGCCAATCCAACAGCCCTTGTATTCCATCCTATGCTGCGCTACTAACTGAACTGGCAATTAAGCACAAAGGTGTGATGACGTTTGTTTTCGACAATATCCTAATTATTACAGGGACTAAGTTTGCCGCATGCTTTAGAGAGAAGCAATAGACCTCCTCCTACTCCGTTCCCCCGGGTCTGTCTCTGTTCATCTCAGAGTACCGATGCCAACCAAATGTTTTCTTGGTGTTCATTTCCTCACATATGTGTCTAACCCAGAGGGACCAAAAGGTAGCCCATGAACCGTATCAATTATCAATCCCGCGATAAGCAAGCAAGTGTACGACATTAAATGATACGGGCAAGAAAGGCTAAGTGTAATATTTTGATCTAGAAAAATCATAAAGAATTAGACAAATAATTTCCACTAATTTACCTGTAATGAGATGCACGGGGGCCTTTGGGTTGGTGTACGGAGCTTCGGCACTTCCATTGTAGACCTTCATATCATAAATTGGCCATAACCGCTCGTAGGAATGCTCATGAGCAGCAATGCACAGATCAACTCCGTACTTATAAAATAGGTCCTCTAAACCTGTCGCAAAAAATGTTACCCAGATGTGAGCGCTCTTGTGCCTTGCCGGGTTCTTAAGGCGTTTTCGATAACGTTTCTAAATGGATTCTTCTTCGGAATTTCGTGTCCACATGATATTTCAAAACATTTCTAGAATGATTAAGATTTGGCAGTAAAGTCTACTCACCGTAGGCTCGGACGATGGGAATACCCTTTCGAACAATACTCTCGCGGTATCGACAGTCATCGTGGTCGTCATTGGAGCAGTACATAGGTCGATGGCCCATTACGATAATCCAGGGGTGTTTGGCGCGATTTTCAGGCTTGGTAGCTTCGATAAGATCTTGCTCCAGCCACTGATATTGATACTTAATCTGGTGCCACCCGTACCAAATGAAGAAGTAGAACTCGGTTGAATAGCTGATAATGTGGGCTGGACCATAATTAAAGCTGCAAAAATGCACGGGAGTTACAACTTCTTGAATTGTATACTATGCAGTGTTAAACTGATTACTTAAGACTATGCTTGCTTTCTAGTATTCGTTGCACGATAATCCGGCAGTAATAGACACTTACCTATTCAGGTTCGAAAGAAGGTAAAGTTAGCTTATAATAGCATTACCAGTTATTCAGAAAGATTTAAGGTAGATTAAGTCAGGTTTGATCCACGTTTCGTCGACTGTTTGGTTGAGGTGTGTTAACTGTAGTTTAGAAATACCCTCTTCTTTGCAGACAGAAACTACAGATTTTTTAAACTGTTTTCAACTAAAAACCTTTTTGAAGACTGGACTAGTGCCTATGCATCGCATTGTACACTAATATATCAGCCATCTGATGAAATACCCAACAGCAGTACCGGATGTAAAACTTGAAGCGCAGTACACGATATATCCATCATAGTATAACCTAACTAAATATAGGCGAGTTTGTCAAGCCAGAGTCGTCAGTGGCGTCACCACTGCTTACCATCAATGATCTTATCTGAAAGCCAGCTGTAACTGTAGTAGTTTCTCTGCGTTTCATCGTTTTACTTCCGATATTTGCATTCCATAAGACTGCTGGCTTCCAGCACGAAGTAAAGCCTGTCTATGCCCAGTTCGAACTTAGACGACAATATGTCCTTCAGATTAGCAAACAAATACGTTACCCACTAAGCTATCACGGGAACCGTAGTAGTCTAGTAGGTCTAAACCAATCCTTAATCGCAGCACCGGACGTAAATCTCAAAACATTTATTTGGTAGATGAGTTCTGTTTCAGACACTTACAATATATAGACGTATACAACGTCATATTCGTGAGCTTTTTGGATTAACTTAGTTCAAGCTCTAACCAGTAATCCGTCATATGTCAGATGGTACTAGCTTTCCGCTAGCTAAGACCATCGCACAGTTTGCTAAACAAATCTTTGGCGGTTGGCGAAGTTGGTAAAGGTTGTAACAAACCACATATATTTGAAATCATCTATAATTTTTCCAAATAATCTTAGGCCGCATAATTAGCTTATTACTGCGTTGCATAATAATGAGTCGGAAGTTAAGTAAATAAGGCCTGTAACCACAATTTAATGGTGCTTTGGTGTATTATCGTTAGTTGCAGAGATTTGTTCTTAATAGTACAATGAAGCAACATTTAATTAGGACACGTTAAAGGTATTCCATTAAACGGTTTGAGATCTGAAAGATGAGAAGCGAAACAGCCGTAAACAGCATTAATATAATTTAGTAATTCGAACGGGCGTTCCTTTTGTTTCTTAAAATGACAAATGTTAACCACTACGAATATTTTTCTTTAAAGAACATCAAAATGGTGACTACTACCTTTATATGAAAAGGAACGACAGACTTGACAAAAGAGTGTATATTCTAGATTTAACTGTGATTACTGCTGAATTTCGTCATTCATTTTTCACCTGTAATAATGATTGTTGATCTGTCCGTTGGACTGCATCATGCTGAAGCGGTAATCGTAATTCGAGAAATTGTAGGCGTTTTCGTGGTTTCCAGGACATGTCTGATACGGCACATACGCCGCGATTGGTTCAATCTGTCTCATAAACTCATCTCCAACGCGAGCGTTGTCCGAATTCATGTCATAGGCAAAGTCTCCAACGTGAAGAATCGCATCGATTGTGTTTTTTTGTACTTCGTCCTGAACGAACGGGATTGAATGGCCGTTCACGTTTCCTACGGCAAATATCACGTATGATATATTTACACGCTTTCTGTTGGCAACAGCGAAGTAATCTGCTTATAATTTCTATGTAGACATTTATAGGAAAGAAGCTAATTTTCAGAAATTAACCGAATCAGAAGGACTGTACGCAACGAATTAATCACATCTCTGCTTAACGTGCATTGTTTTACTGCAAAGAATCGAACTAAATAGCTGTTCTAATAGCGGGTGTATTCTTTACGAGACGCTTCGATAGGGTCAAGGAGGTACTTGTTGCGGAACCAAGTACCTGATTTAAGAGTTGGATTGCACATATTCTATACAGATTCAGCGTAAAGTCAGTACATTACGGTACATTACATAGTGAGTCGACATTCGAATTGAAAAAAAATTAGCACGTATTTCTACTAAACTAACTTCTTATATATTAAGAATAATTACCTTTCTTTTTACTTGTATGTATATTTAATAAATAACTTTTTCTTATTCATCTTTTTAACTCAAATTTCCATCCATAACACAAAGCTTAATTATCAACTTAGAGCTTTATGCTGCAAAAAATAATTTTGTAGAATCAGGAAAATATCCTGTACATCTCGAGTTCTATGAAGCTTTTATGGTAGCTAACCAAGTTGTACAAGAATAAACATACCGAGATCGCCGTAGACAGCGAGAGTTGGTGCAAATGCACTGTCGTTCCGCTGAGCCTGGAGCCAAAAGACTGGACTCCATCCATCGTCGCTACCCACGTGATAATAATATCGTTGCCCAGGCACTAAACCAGTCATGATTGCTCGATGTATATACATCTGACGTTGCTCGGTCCCACCATCGACGTATTTCGTTGACCAGCCATTCACTTTCATGCTAAACAGTACCGAGCTACTATTCCCTGCGGCACCGTACCTGGCCTGAGGTTTTTTCGTTTGATTAATAGTAAGCCATGTAGCAACCATCTGTGATGGATCCTGTCCAAGTGATAAATGTATTTGCTCGGGTTGAACACGGAGTTCGCTAACTGTTGACGAAATCACGGTGGTCAGGGACATGGCGATAGCCACAAAACCTATCACCAGCCGCATCATTACTTCAATCGTATAGCTATCGGGTAATGTTTAATTCAACAACTGTTGACAAAAGTCAGTGCATTCGATGATGAGGATCAAATAATGAGTTTACCGTTAAGATATCTATATTTACACTAAAAGGCTATCCGGAGAAGATGACAGGTGAAATTCTAATTTCCAAACAATTCAATGGTTGCCTTGTCGAAGGTAACTATAAGCTTCGCGTGCGTTTGTAGATATATAAAGGTTTGTCTCCCGGAAAAACACGTTCAATTAATACACTCTTAGTCTTTATCTACCTTTCTCTTTTAATTTCTCTTTTTGGGGATAACTCAGTTGCCCAATCGGTTTTAATCGCAGTATTACGTCGATAAAAGACGATTATGGCTAGCAGTGGCGAATGTGTTTTCAACGTCGACAACAAGTGTTTCGTATTGTTAGCTCTAGAAAAGAGAAACGGTACCGTCACTGATGTAGGTACGACGGCAGTGATTGGCGTGGCTTTGTAACGGCACCAACCGCAGCAGCAGGAGCAGTGGGAGCGGTGCGTGCCATTCATCGTACTTATAACGATCGCTTAAAGCGAGTATTGTGGCCACTGGACTCCATTAACAGGCGAGACAAAGGCAACAGTAACGCCTATAACGACAACATCACCGAGAAAGACCGCATCTCTGACCGAGCTTTTACCAAAATTGTTTATTGCTTTTTTATGTTGCCGTTGTTAATATTATTGTTGCAACAATTTCTGTACTTTTATTTGGCGTTGCGCGTATCTCGAGGCGTTCGATTTCGCATGAACCGTCGCATCCCCTCTGTGCGCGGGTATCACAGATCTGCAAATAATTAACTCAATCAACCAACCTTCAACGTAGTAATTAAAGTGAATTTTAAACTGGGCATTCGTTAAGAGCAAGACATCTTAAAGACGCTTATAATAGCATAACATCTATTAGAATATATAATAGTAGTCTTCAATCGAAATCAACGTTTTACACACCTAAAACAAGAACTGCAAAGAATTATCACAAATCGATTACTGGCCTTTAAGTGACTCAACAAACAGTTACCAAGCGTTTATTGACCTAAGTGATCCAGCTTGGTCCAACCAAATCATGTTTGATAACAATAATCATAATAATAGTAGCAATAGCTAAATGTGCATTAATGGTATCGTTGCACCTTAGCTTACCCCAACAGACTGCATATTTATGATATTACTACTCTCTATGCAACTCCATTTCGAATATCGCTTTACACTATCCTAATACAAGGTCGCTTTAGTGTGCCTATTCTGTTTTTTTCGCATCTAGTAGAAACGTCGAAATCCTTGTAGGATATAGCTGCCTTAACGGAACCTATCTATACATTGTTTCTCCAGTTGGATGAAATGAAAGGCCGTTCGGTCTGCTCCAACGCTCATCTTCTCTGCAAATCTGCAAGTTTTTGGTATTTGACGATTTTGCTACACATTCCTTTGGATTTTCGTTAAATAACTTCCTACACGACAAAACATTTCCATATATAACTAAAAGTACGAGAACTACATTTTATAACATTTTCTTGCCTTGAAGATTGTGGATTATACTATATAACGACTTTTTATATGAACTACTTCTGCGCTATACAAACTTGCCAGCACACACACAACACAAATTTAGTACTTATATGTTTAATACTAATATCTAGAGATTTCGTAATAAGACCGCTCCTAATATTACCGTATCGAAATTCAAATATTTTCTTCGTTATAGTCACAATGCATAATACTGCACATTTGAAAACGTTTGTCCTGGCCGACTTTCGGCTTGAAATGTCTCACAATTTTTTGTTTCGGATTGCCTTTGGACACTACTACAACTGCAACTTCGTAATTAGGCAAGCTCCGCCCAAAGTATATCACTCGTACACTTCGCACTATAAGTCCTCTCTATAGAAAGACGTTTTCCACGCAACCACGTACTTGAACACAACATACATAAATATTGGCTGATCTGTCTAGGTCAAGATAAGTAGAAGATTCAAGAATTCAAGTTAACCCAATTTCCATTTTTTCAATCGATATTTTTGTTGAAACACTCGTTGAGATAGTAGTTACATTTTATTGTGCGAAATGCAATCCTAAACAGAAGCAAGAAAATTCTGACAAGCTTTCATCAAAAAAAAAGGTGTTGAAACGGAGTACACAAGGAGAGACTAAATATTCTTAAAAGTGATCTAGCTGTTTGAAAACAAAAACAGCTGCATTAAATTTTTCTACTTTCTTTTGGTAGAACGTCTAAGCTCCTTGAATTGTACTTGTGGTAGCACAGTAGATAATCTATCAAGCTTAGGGACATGCAGTGGTCTAAATTTGAATCTAAGCGTAGATAGGCTTTGTTTAGTTCTACAGCCAACCGTCTTAAGTTATGCCTAACGGCTGAAGTACGAGACACAAGATTCGGAAAACGACTTCATAGGTACCTTTGAGGTGGAACTCTAATGCTACGTAACGCCGATGATAGAGATAACCCGAACAGGGACTTCATCAGCTTTTCAAATTCTTTGAATTCCTTATATCAGCTCACCTTGAAGTTGCATTTGCCAGAATTTATATTATTATATGCCTTTTTCTGAATATTATAAATTAGCTCCGACAAAATACAGAACTCCGATAATTGCATTTTACGTGACATCCGTTGCATATAATCTCTAGTAAGTTTGTAAACTTAAGCACATCTTTGATTAAACTTTTTGAAACAAACTTCTTGAAATATATTTAAGTAGTTATTTCTTTAAAAAGACAGAAATGTATAATATAGAGTAATTACCTCTTATAATTAATTGATATATAAGAAAGGCTTGGCAGCTTCTTTCGCACAATTTTTAAACCGAAGTCCTCCGTGTAACTGAATGCAGGCGGAGTGGTATCGTTCCTTATAGACTTACCGTCCACTGGCAGATTTATTGTCTGTTTCTTGTATGTAAATTATATTCCATCACTTACTTTCATCAGGACATCTCGAAAGGCACATGGCCTTTACTAAAATTCGTTGCACACAGTCACGGGAAGTTCCTTACGCCTATTTGTCTGAGTCAATGTCTTGGTAGAGACACTCTCCCCACGTTTTGTCATAGAGTACATCATGACTTACAGGAACGAGAAATAGTTAAATTAAAAAGGAAAAGTAGGCCTACAGTTAATGAAACGCTACTAAACTTTATATGTTATAACTAATGAACGCTAAAATGTTAATGAAAGTTTCCAGTTAAGAAAAAATGAGCTTCCAGTGAGCAAGGAAATATTTAGAGTTAAAGTTAAACTGCACTGCCTGAGAACAGCCTCACTTAGAAGAAGATCAAAGAGATCCGAAAATAACGTTAAAAATCTGCCGAAATTCAAGTGGTTGCCTTTTTATAGGTACTAATTTTAGGTTCTAAAAAATTATTTGCCATCTCGTAGCAAAAACTTATATGAGCATCAACTTCGTATGTGCATTCAGGTTGCAATAGACCATGTTGTGCGCATACATAGTAATCGTTTTAAACCGCTTGTTTTTTGCACCATTTTAAAAGCTTATCAAACCCATTCTTATTTCGGGAATAGGTCAGCTTTAAGGTCAATCGCATTAAATGAATAAATAACTTAATTATAAGTTTAATTTTACACTTGGCATTGCAATTGAGCATTGCTGCAGGCGGCTAGTCCTACTACGAAAATGCGAGCGGCTAAGCCTGGTTTTGAACCTAAATGTTTCTTATTTTATGCTCGGTATTACTTCTATGCGTACTTCATGCGGCTTACTCCCAGCATAAAACTATGTGTGTCTACACTCAATCTCTAACCTAAAACATCTCATGTGTCCCTAATTTTAGTATGCAAACACTTCACTTCTATACTGTATGCTGTACCAGCGTCATAAACGAAGTATGTTCTGAATTAAGTACATCACAAAAACATTCGGTTTCGAACCTGGACCACCTTAGCTGGTGGCCTTATGCTTAATAGACACACACGTTGTTCCTGCGCTATCAAGGGCGCAGTAGATAAGCCTAATGGAAACGTCTTATCCTCATGCTGTTCGAGCTGAATGGCTTAATGCTTTCAAACAAACTGAATGAATTCATGATATAGATCACTGTGAATGTTGCAGTTATTGAGTTCTAGGATTGTGAGAAGCTTGGTATTTTGATTAATTTAGCATTCTAAAAGTTGCAAATAAATCATCATATTCATCAGCTATATGTATGGCATGCAGCAAAAGATGGTGTGCTCGTCTGGTTAAGCAGCATTTAAATTTATCAATTTACTTATCTTTCTAAATATAATAGTATTAATAATAAATGTTTTTTTTTTAATATAATTAGATTGTTCATCTTCAATATTCTCAATTCTCAAGACATCAAAGGATGATATAAAGATACTAAGTGGCGCCTCTTTTTTTTACACCATGGGCGCTATAAGTCAGTACATGACACACAACCATAACTCACAATGACTCGGTGCACTCCGATACAGTTAATAATTTCAGACTTTATAATATAGTCCATAAATTCTAGATCTAAATAATACGCCTGAAGCGGTTCAAATTTACCGCACGCATAAACGTTGTTTATTCATCGTTATTAAAAAAACAGACTTAAATATTAAGTAAATGAAAATGTCCAGTTATTTGCTTTATATTTATATCTTTCGTACAACATATTACAACCGATGTAATAATAATAAGAATATTACAGAACTATCGCGATCCACCCAAACGGGGTGCATAGTGTTAATTTATAGACTTTCCAACTGCCTACAATTACCTAAGGTCCTGAAATGCAGTATCGAATGATTCAGAAAGTATAGTCGATAGCTTGTCACTTTTTTTTGCCTTTTTCTGGGCTTTCTTAAACGCCGCCTTTAAGGATCGATTCTGACGTAAATTGTTGTACGAAGGGTCATTGATGCTGTCGTCGACTTCCTGAGCTTTGCGCTTTTTCGACGGATTAGCCAAGATTCTCACCAGTGTCCTTGTTCTCTTCTCCTTGCTGGAATCTTCCATTTCTTCAATATCAAAATCTTCTTTTTCATTTTGTTCAGCCTCATCATCTTTTTCGTTCGCCGCATGGGCTTCCATAGCTTCCTCGGAACTGACATCCATTTTAACAGTACTTGATGGCAATACTTGGGGAAGGTTCATCATTACTGACTTATCGGTAAAATCAGAATCAAGTTCAAATTCTTTTGCAAATGTTGACACAATCTGTGTTGATATTAGGGCGTTTTTGTTTTCCTCGGGAGGAACAGTGTAGTATTTTATTTTTCCCGAATTCCAGTCATTGATGATGAGACGGGCGGCAGCGTCTTGATTATAGATGCCACCTCGGCCAATAAAGCCACGAGCTTTAGCAATATGAGCCATAAATTCTTCCCCGTTCACGTAGTCCTCCTTAATTTTATACTGCAGCATCAATTGTTCCTTGTTTGCTCTAGATATTATTTCGAGGGCTGGCGTAACCGGATCGGCTAAGGCTTCTACTCTGCAAGCATTTCTCAGAGCTGCTCCAGTTGAATCAGATTTATCGAAGATGACTCCGGGTGAATCAATCAGTTGAACATGTTTGTCTAAAGTCACCTCTTGTGCCAGTCTAGTCAGGCCAGGGGTGGCTCCTGTTAGGCAGGCTTTGGTCCTTTTTAAACTATTGATAACGCTACTTTTCCCAACGTTGGGGAAACCTACAACGCCTACCTTGATACTTATCTTAATGTCCTTATTTCGGCAATAATTGCCCAAAATTTTCATTAAGTGCTGAGCGCCGAGACAGCGTTTGTTCGATATTACTTCATCCTCGTATAGTTCTTGTATGTTGATTCCACGGTTTTGTGAAAGCTGGTTCCGCTGATTTTGCGTCGATGCCTTAAACGGCAAAGTGGGAAACTCTTTTCGTAAAAATATCAGCCATGCTTTAAGGTTGTCTGCAGGAATAAGGTCGCACTTGTTTAATAACAATAGTAGCCTCTTGCCAGTTCCCAACACAGTCTTTTCGACTTCCGCACTACGAGTACCCATTGGATCACGAGCGTCCAAAACTTGCACAATGATATCCGACTTTTCAATTACTTTGTTTACCTCTTGTACGAATGAATGAGCTGTATTACCAGCCTTTTCAACTAGGACCCGGCAGTTGTCAGTGTCAATTGTCTCGTACTCTTTGAATTTCTCCTGTTGTCGCCGAGCTTTAGCTTCCATGTGACGAAGACGCTTTTCCTCATCAATTCGTGCTTTTACCTCGACTGCCTCCTGCATAATTCGTTCCTGCCATGTAGACAATTAATCAAACAAAAAGGAAATATATATTAGATAGGACTGATTACTAAACGGTGTTTTAAACCATTGGAGAAAAGAGAATTGTATTTGTTCTCTGCTAAAATAAGCAATGCGGTTTAATTAAGCACAACTTTAACATGAGTTATGCATACACAGGTAAATCGTTTTTGATAATATATAAGACTCAGAACTTTTCAAACGCACTTTCATATTTTGAGCTGACTCCCAGCTGCCTTCAAAGCCACTTGTGTGCAATGCCTCAGTAAACAGACATGAGGGACTTTGCTGGACTTGCCTAGGTCTTCCGCAAGAGCTGTACACTAAGCCTACCTTGAAAGGTGCGCAGTTAGGAACTCGAAGATCTTTGTTCGGATTTCGCGACTTAATTGGATTACGACGGGCGTCTCTTTTACGCTTACGTTCGCGCTCTCTTTGTTTCTTCTCCACCCGATAGCGATGCGCACATGGTATACGCTTACTTTTGCGCTGTTTAATTTTCATTCTACAATTATTAACATATATAAACAAACAGCCAAGTTTTAATAATAATTAGTGCATGTTTTTTAAAGCTGCGGATCCCGCCGTATGAAAGACCCCTAAAAGGTATTAATTTCACAAGCCTGCAGGCTCCAAACGAAACTCTAGTGGAAAAAGTACAACCAAAGATGGCACTCGTTTCAGATGTCGAGAGAATTCAAAGCTAATATCCCTTTCGTTTCTTAATCTTTGACAGTGTATATTCATGTCATTTATGAAAAAAACGTTTTTCAGATGCGTCACGTTTACAAAAAAATACTCTTTTTTTTATACTCAAACACATTACGATTTTTGGATTTTTCAGAATTTGTTGTTTTGTTAATTAAAACGATTCTATAACTTATGAATCATATCTTCTGATATATATAATAGCACTTAATATTGTTCGCTGTTAAATTAATGATAATTCAGTTTGTTATTTACCATCGAGTACTTGCAACTGCGTAAAACGAAACACACTGAAAAGTAATAACTGATAGCGGGTGGTCATCATTTGAAAACTATTGCCGTTTACTAGCTCCGCAACCACAGTTAATTATATTCCCAAATAAACTGGAAATCGTTGTCTAGTGACGGTCACAAGGTTGTACAATTACCTTTAGCTGTTAGTATAATTTGGTGATCCCACAGGTAAAGAAATGCCAGATATCGTTCCGCAGATGTCGTGTCCTTACGTTCAATCAGTAGCCGTAGCGGTTCGTTCGATTCGTTACCACGTGTGTTGAGAGCGCCGCTGCACAAGGATATAAATATTTTTGTAGAGACTGGCGGGCAGCTTCAAATTCAGACAACACATATTCATAATGTCTTATCATTTTTTTACTTCTGTGAGATAACAGCAATAGGAAACCCAATTAAGTCACGGTTCGTTTAACTAACGTCGCTTCAACATAGATTATAGTTTGACAGTGTTTGTTATGAAAGTACGTATGCAAAATTTGCACTGTATTGCATGAAAAGCTTACAGGATATCAATAACTAAATAAAATGGATACAAAATAAAATATTTATTGCCTTGCTTAAAATGCCGTAAGCGACGTTCGTGACTCTGATGTAACTGTAACCATTTATAATGCGTGACACATGAATAGATTACAAGTAAATGAAAACACTTTATATTAGTGAAATAATTGTTTCCCTTGTATCTTTTGAACAGTGAGAGAGCAAAAATTTAAAAGATGATTGAAAAATGTAGACAATAACTCCAAAAGATACAAAACTATTTCTCTCATATTTGCCTTTTCTATTTTAATATATATATATATATATATATATATATATATATATATATATATTTTTTTTTGTTTTTTTCTCTTTTTTTTTAATTTATTCATATATATTTTTTCAATTTATATATTTATTTTATTTAATATATATTTTTTATTTCTATTATTACTGTAGGTAGACATATATATGGGTTCAGGAGACATTTTGTAGTAGTAATGAATATTTTCAAATTCTATGTCAGTTAGCAACCAGCCTTTTAATAGAAACCCTAGAAACAAATAAATTATGCAAACTGGAAGGAATTCGAAAATTTCTATGAAGAATAATGAAATCTGGGTAAACTCAAAATCAGGTTTATCATTAACTGGTGCAAGGGGTGTAAGGCAGGTACACCTCGTATTTAGTAATTGCTTTTATATATAACTTATATACCTATTTTGTGAATATTTACTTGTGTGTGTAAGTGTCATCCCATAATCGACTTTTATTCATCTTTGTTCAGTATAATGCTAGTAAAGAACTTTTTACGCAGCTAATTTATTTATTACGTTATTTCAATTCTATCGCAAATAATAAAATCCTTTCTTCTGTCGGTAGGATTTTGTACGCCAGAAGATTTCTTCTCCCATTCGAGGGTTAGACAAAGGTGGAAAAACGACAAAAGTGTAAATTCAAATGACTCGACCCAAATTTAATTCCTCGTTAGTGGATAATGCTCATATATATAACAATTGAGTACTATTTTATTTTTATTTTAGATAACTCTACCTCGTAGAATTTTCTAGCGTTTCCTGGAATCATTTTCCAGTTGGAGTATCGCGACCCTCACAGTAGACTCAATAGACACAGTATGTGAATAGTAGTAAAACGGCAGGAGTTATTTTCGTCAAGCTGAAGAGGACATCCAAAAAATCTTCCAATCGAAAAAGAATCTATGGTTGGTGCGTACATAACCGTAAAAGAAATTTTTTCTTTCTTCCTTGGCAGTTTTATTATAAGTTCTTCACATATTTGCACATGTATGTTGTTATTATTTGTTCGTAATAAATATTCTTCAATAACATTTTGTATTAACGGAGCTTATTTATTTCAAATTCTTGCTACCCGTTATAATGTGCGTCCGTACCTAAGCTATTAACAAAAATAATGAGATATACGGATATTCGCCCATCTACACAGGCTTTACGGCCTCCCCCATTTTATTTATTGTAGGAATCTATGTGCTTTTTGTAGAGAGCTCTATATATATTTCTATAGATTGCTCTATAGAGAGCAAGCTGTGCATTCTGTTTTTTATTGTTATCTTTGTTATTTACCCATAGTGTTTCTATCTGTTGAACACAGATTATAGTAGCAGTTATTAGCGTACAAAGTATTAAAAACTGTCAGAATGAGCAATAACCCGGCCTTTTCCCCTTCTATTCCTGTTGTCGCGAATTTTTCGGTTGGTTCCGTGCGCAGTGTGCGCCTCATCGAATCTCGTCTTCTCGGGTGAGCGGAGATCGCTTTAAACAAAACGTGGACAAACAATTACAGCTGCGAAAATTTCATAGTGGGCTCACCTGTTACTCGTGTGGACCTTCGATAGCCGTCCGTTGATGCACTCCGGCTTTTTTCGTTCATTTAGCCTTATTGTGCCTTTACATTGCCTGATTACTGGGCTGGTATCGCTAACAAGATATGATCTTTCTCTTTTGAATCACATGCTTGATTTACATAGGCGGTTATTACGTAAATATGTGATTAGTAAATAAATGCAGCTATTGATGACGAGCTAGTTGGCCGGTCCGTCTGAGAACTAAGTACATCAGCTTAGTGAAAATATTTAAAGTCACTTGGAATTAAGTCCGTGCTGTTCGCAGCTTTAACAACGGTGTGCGCTATGCAAATTCATTGTCCCGCAAGGAAAGGGTCTTTTACGTTGGATCAGAGAGGGTTGATCGCCTATGCGCCACTAGCTTTCAGTGTCCATCTTTTAGCTCTACCGCATGATACACGCACACCACTCATGCAGGTTATCTGTATCGCTATGGGTGCGCAATCTGGCACATTCACAAACAGAGAGACAAGACGGGTTTAGCGGACTGTCGGCGGCAGCGATGACGACGGCGGCAGCAAAGGCAACCAAGAGTGACTGCGATCAAACAGAAATATTAGGACAACTCTTTAGCCTACAGAGATGACTGTTACTAACGTTTTGACGGTCCGTGTTGCCAGTACTTCAAATTGTCGGACCAATCCTGAATAAATCGTGAGCAACTGGTTATTCTCCTGGAGTGCCTACCTATAGTGCGCAGAACTGTTACATACAACAACGGCGAACTGGCGCTGCTAATGCTGCTGGGCAACTGCCGGTACATTGACCTTGGTGCGCAATTCGTGCTTTTCCGGTCTAAACGACTTACTGATGCTGTTTTGCTTACGGTAAGCTGTCGAGAAGACCAATAGTCTTACTCTAAACAAAAGCCGTTTTATGAGCGAGTAATGCGCTTAAGTGTTTCAAGGTTCAGTGTGATGAACCTTACAAATTGACGCAATCATTATCGTCATGATTAGTATGCTTTATTCAGTCGAAATGTGAATCACAGTACAGTATAGCGAAGAAAGATATTACTTCATGTAACCGCAATTAATATTAGGCAACAACATTGCAGCTGTACACGTCTATCGGACGACGTTAATGTTGGCTGAGTGCTACCTGGTCGCTTATGACTTGATTGCCCCACAGGAGGAATAGAGGAAGGTACGGCGATCAGCTGAAACTGTGTACTACCTGATAATTTTGGCCTGCTTTGTGGGATGGCGGACCGTAACCTCGCAACTGGGGGTCAGCCCCTGGTTAAAATAGGTCATTACATCCTAGGTGAGACTCTAGGAGTTGGCACATTTGGAAAGGTTAAAAGTGAGTACTTTCATAGTTCTTTATTTACACGAAATGTTGATAATATTAATCCTTCTTTATCTTCTAAAAGGAAAGTGCAAAACTTGAAGTGAAATCTTTTGTACTTTAACAGGTTTATAATATTTATTCGTTTATTCAGATCAAATAAATGATCGTGAACAGAAAATATCAAGTAGCTTGATAATAAGAAGCTTCTTCTGATATCAGTCTTTGTTGTTATGTGCGCTTGTTTGTTTGTGCAACAAGATCAACTTGCTGTAGACTTTCATTTGACAATGTGAGAACCTGAAAATTTAAGGTTTTAGACCTTGAAGACGATGTATCAGGAGCACGCGAATAATTGACAGTTAGAATCAAGGCAGTAGATGTATGGCGCTAATAATAATAATAACAACCAGTTTGTAATATCTCAGCTTTTTGTATTGTGCAAGATAAAAATACGTAGTAACGGTTCAAATTTACAATAGCGATGATATTATCATGTCTGTGGAAACAACGATTCGAGGTAGAAACGTGGTCTTTATTTATCAGTCAGTCCACGGTGCTTGTTTTAGTCGTGTGTCTTGCTGTTGTTTCTGGTAGAAGATAAGAAACGACATGCAGTGATTAATAGAGCGTTCGAAATATACAACCGGTCTACGTGTGCAATAGCCAATAATTTCACTCTATAAGCCTTCAAGAAACACGGAAACTGATGAAAGAGATCAGCATATCGCTCAAAGCAAATAGCCAAGTCCTCATTTTTACCCCCTGCTGGAAAAAAAGTGGTAAAGTTGAAGCAGTAGTAGCTGATAAATAAACCTATTTTTTAAGTTAAATGCAGCTGGGTAACTCAGTAAATTATGATATTAATACATCGATACTACTATGTATACTTTTCGGACTCTGTCGTAAAATAGCATATCTATAAAAACTTTGTTCCATAGCAGCCTGCATTACGTTCATGCAGAATGCTCGCAGAAAGCATAGTAATGCTCATCAAAGTTGATGACGTAAGGTTGTTACCATAATAAGCCATGCATGCACAACAATGTTAACAATGTTAAAATACAAGTTCGAGGTAGAGCGTGTTTTGCTGCAGTTCTTGCACTTGTAAATTTATTATTAAAGTAAATTATTTGTTCTATACATTTGTCATATGATAAATTATATAAAGAAAATTATTTTCACAACGAACATGGCAATGAATTACTCGCATTTACGGTATTAGCAAACATTTAATTACGACGTATGACCACGTATTATGAAATCCCTTACATTATTACTCCACGCCTCTTATTTTTTGCGTTTGTTTGCCCGAAAAAAACACCGTTATTACCAATACTGCCTAATATATATATATTGGGCAGTATTGTATATATATATATTGTACCTTTATATCGTATAGATATAAAATGAAAATCTTCAACTATCGATCAGTTTTTTAACTCGTTAAAAAATGGTAATACTGTAATATTTATTTTTGGCTTTGTTTTTTCTAGTTTTTCGTTTGGCTTTATAATAAGTGTTTGGTAGCTATCTTCCGGTCTTTCTGATTTTAAAAGGCGGTCTCGCGAATCTACATTTTCGTACTCGATACAACTTAGGTTCCAATGAAAGAAAATATTACCTGACCTGGGCTACAACAAGTGAATAACGTTATTTAGGGCAAAGCCCTAAAAGCATTTGAACGCAAAGGTAAACTATATTTATACCAATTATATAGGTTTACATTGTTAACAGGACTGAAAGGAGCGATCCTGGTTTCCTTCAATTTACTTTAGTGTACTACTATTCGCTCTAGTGTTTACATCGTACGCCATACTTACGCTGGTTTGCCTCGGCAGCTTGCTGAACTACGTTATCAGTCAAACAACGTAATGCAAATAATAGAGATTTTTTTCGAGCAGAGAAACTAATCATGACTATGTATGTGAACATTTCAAACCAGATGGAATGAGACGAAAATGATACTTCTGTAGATAGAAAACGATCACCCAGTTCGCGTGAAACGGATCGGTACGTTATGATTTAATGTTCGTTTGCGATTGACTGCAAAGAACGAATGGGAAGTTTTGATCAAACTACGTTTGAAGACAGGGCTTCCTTCCATTTTGCTGATGTATGTTTTGCGTGTAAATGCTTTCCTTTATCGTTAGTTATAGTAGTCGTGCTTCACATATAGGGAAACTTGGCGGTTAGTGCGGCTCAACCTGTGGAGGTGACGAAGTACACTGGCGTTAGAGCCATTGGGTTACTCTCACTAGTCGAGTTTTAACGGTAGCAAAACGACGCAGTATTATACTAAGAGAGTTTTTCAGTTAAACCGATGTTTCCCAGACATGTCACACTTATCATAAGCAGCTCTACGCATAATAAAAAATATGAAGATCGTTCTATATATGTATATTTACAAACGATCTTGAAAACATTTCATATTTAGTGCATATGTACAGCACGTATTAAGTGGCGTTTCTCACATTTGAAAAGAAACCTGTCTACGGATCCTCGAAAAGTCTACCGAGGCTCTATAATGCTCATGGAAAGGACATCGTAACTATCAATATTTAAAGATATCTAGGATTTATCTGTTTACATTTTTGAGTTCCATAATAACTGCCAGCTAATTATTAAGTATTCGTAGACAACGACTTTTTTACACTCCTACTTGTGTCGTTTGCAGCTGCTAAGCACCAACTGACTGGCCACAAAGTGGCGGTGAAGATCCTCAACCGACAGAAGATAAAAAATCTGGATGTTGTTGGAAAGATCCGAAGAGAGATACAGAATCTCAAACTCTTTAGACATCCACACATTATTAAACTGTACGTATAGCCCAAAAAGTGTAAAAATAAACGAACTCTTTATAAGCGATCGTACAATTTATAGCTGATAAACTATGCATGTCAGCGACGCACCGCAAGGGTACACGCGACACATACTTTTAGTTAACCAGATACTCTGGTTAATCCTGAGAAACAAATCATTTCTAGCCTATTTGACCACATGCTCACTTTAGTCGGCTTAGCTAAGACAGCTCGGCTTTTGACTGGAAGACTTAGGAGTTGTTGCTTCAGACTTGTATGAACCTGTGTAGTCTATCTGAGAGATAAGGAATTATTACTAGAAGTCGCGTGATTCTCAAACTGTTCTTTTGTAAAGACTTTAACAATCTCAATTCCAACGGTTCGATCACAACGTTACTCAGCTTCCTTCTGCTTTTTTTACTGGTAACCATCTGTTAATATCTAGTTATCATCTATCACTTATCCTGTCTAAAGTGACTTATTTCTAGTTAAAAAGTCCTTGCTGTTAATATTGAGATTATAAATATTGATTTTCTAGTATCATACTTGGATACGTAAGCAAATTATATTTGTATACCTACGCTGGAAGCTCTTGATTTAGTTTAAAATTGAGTATTAACAAGTAAAATAAATAGCAGCGTTTTAATTGTCATCTCATCCGTTATTAAATATGGTCAATGAAATCTAGATGATGCAGAGTATAACAAAGGTTGAACTCGTTTTGGTTATCTGTTACGTTGCTTTCATCATCTACCGGGAGCGTGATTTAGTTAAAAAGAGCTACACAAATTTATTTTTTATTGACATTATAGCTACCAGGTGATCTCGACGCCGACCGACATCTTCATGATAATGGAATATGTTTCTGGTGGAGAGTTATTTGACTACATCGTTAAACACGGAAAGCTCAAGGAAAGTGAAGCGCGCCGTTTCTTCCAGCAAATCATCTCAGGCGTCGATTACTGTCACCGACATATGGTGGTTCACAGAGATCTTAAACCTGAAAATTTACTTCTAGGTTAGTATCTATTTCGCTTTATACCTTTCGTCACAAATGTATTTGTTGTTGGGCTCAGTGGACGTTTACAAACATGTACATTATGGTGAATTTGCATTAAGCAACAACCCTGGTCCTTTACCTCGAAGAAAGCTGACGCTTTTGGAAAACAATTGTTTCTGTGTTTGACAAAAGTATAGAGATATGCCTCTAGTGAATGTCAAGGCACTAGCAGGCACGCATTCCTTGTTCACTTACAATTACTGCATAATGACTTTGTATTATTCAACAATAATTCAGATCAGGCGTTGAACGTGAAAATTGCTGATTTCGGTCTGTCAAATATGATGATGGATGGAGAGTTCCTACGAACATCGTGTGGGTCACCCAACTATGCCGCGCCAGAGGTGATCTCGGGAAAATTGTACGCCGGACCTGAAGTTGACATTTGGTCATGCGGGATCATTCTCTACGCGCTACTTTGTGGAACGCTTCCCTTTGACGATGAACACGTACCTACTCTATTTAGAAAAATTAAATGTAAGACTTTTGTTCGTCCCGTAAGTGAGCATGGGTGAGAGTAAAAAATATATAAACGTGAAATATGTTTTCTGAAGACTCACGTCTACCAGGAACTCTCTTCATTCACTCGCGTGGCCACAAAATCTCTGAAGCTCTGTAATGCTTTTAAGATGTTTATATTTCGAGTAGTATGTCTGGTATTCCGTTAGGCATTCCATCAGATGGCTGGCTCCCAGCACGACACAAACCGTATGTCTAAGCCCTGGTACGAATCTAGACCACAACACATCCCTAAGATTAGCATCTAAATACGTTATTCGTTAAGCTATCACTAAGACATGCTTCTATAATCAATGCCCATAGAACCACCCTTTTCCGTTCATCTTCGTTTTTATTTATTCTCACAACACTAACATGGCGCTATATGTTATTATAATATATAAGAGCAAACTGTTACCAAAAGGCCACCGATTCGCACGTCTATTAAGCAAACTTCGATTTCATAAAGTGGAAAGTTACTGCTAAGAAATTTTTTTCAAATTAGAATATCAAAACATGCTTCAACAAAAGAAGTTATAGTTATCAATAATAAACTCGAACACATGTGTCTCTTATGAGTCTTGCAATATTTATAATGAAGATGTGATTACTGTAACGCATCTATTTCATTTATAGCGGGGATTTTTCCAATTCCGGATTATTTGCACAAGTCTGTCGTATCGCTACTGATCCATATGCTTCAAGTGGATCCGATGAAACGCGCTACAATGGAGGATATTAAGGCTCACGATTGGTTTAAAAGAGAACTTCCTGCTTATCTTTTTCCACCGCCAAACGAAACTGACGCATCCATTGTTGACATTGATGCTGTACAGGTGAGTATAGGTATTTCCAAAGTTGCGGCGCCGCGCTTCTTGCCTTGTCGCTCATTTCCCGTGTTTAATAGGTTGAAACAGATTTCTTGTTTGCGTATAGTTTATAAAAAATTTGTTACCTCTGCTAATTGGAGTATAGATGTTTGATATATAAACGAAGAGCCATCGGCGTGTATCGGACGGACGTGGATTTTTAGCTGCATAGATTTAGCAATCTTTCGCGTTAAAATTATTTATCCTATTTCAGGTGGTGTGTGAAAAATTCAGTGTTGTCCAACAAGAGGTTCATGGGGCCTTGCTAAGTGGCAATCCGCACGACCAGTTAGCCATCGCATATAACTTGGTTGTGGACAACAAACGCATCGAGGACGAAACAGCTAAATTAGAGATTAAGGACTTTTACGTCGCTTCCAGCCCCCCGCCGTTATCGAGCAGTTTGGAGAGCCCTTCTCGGGGTGCACTTGGACATGTTCATCCCGAAAGGGTTCCCCGTGCGCGCCTGTTGAGTCCGGGGGGCCAGGAGCGAGAAGGGCGCGCAGCTGGAGCAAGCGGCGCGATGGCAGCCAGCACAGCCGGCCCTAAACCACCTCACAAGAGAGCCAAATGGCACCTCGGAATTCGCTCGCAGTCAAAGCCACACGACATTATGAACGAGGTCTACCGCGCAATGAAAGCACTTGATTTTGTAAGTACTAACAGCATAATCATTTTTATCATATTTTACTGTACTACAAATTGTGCATAAAAACATAGGTAAAAACTAAAGCTGGCTTCAACCAATTACCGAATTTTCCTGAGCATAAAGTTGCTATCCTTACCGTTACCGTGCTGACAATAATATCTCAAGAGTAATCCCTTTTGCGAATTTTTCGCACTCTTAATCTCACGCTGTCTTGAAGATCCATCTCGGTTGTATTGATTTGTGCAGTAACTTTTACTATGAGCTGTACTTATACATTGCGATAGTTGCAGCTGTTAACTATTTTTTATGTTTTTAATAAAATAGTTTTACATTATTGGGTGAACAAAGAATACAGGATTTTAAACCTACCATCTGCTAACTGCTCATAAAATGACATGGAGAACTATATATAAGACCATGTTTCAGCCCTACATAGAGGGCTCTTGGCTTTTACCTGATTACACATTAAATTATTATTATGAAATAAAAACGTATATATGCTACATTTAAGGATACTAACTGATGATAATTAATTGCCCGCTCTCTGATAAACTCGTTGGTATCTTTCATGTTTTTTCTATTTGTTCTGTTATAGCGGGCTAGGTGTATTTAACCTGTTGCTCCTGTTAACGCCATTTTAGGAGTGGAAAGTGGTAAACCCATTCCATGTTCGTGTGCGCCGTAAGAATTTGCCCAGTGGACGCCTCGCCAAGATGAGCCTGCAGTTGTATCAGGTTGAATATAAGAGTTATCTGCTGGACTTCAAGTCTTTACCGTACGCCGAAGACCAGTCGCAAGACCCAAGCGTGGCAGAAACCAGCCTGCATAGTTACCACAACACGATGGAGTTCTTCGAGATGTGCGCGGCTCTCATTACTCAACTGGCGCGCTGAGACGTACTGCAGCCGGATGGAAGCAGCCAAATAGAAATAAATTAACACCATGATGGCGGCGAATGAATCGTGCTAGTCATATAAAAATAAGGTGTTGCTAACAAAAATAATAGCTTCGAAGACGTTGCGAGCACTAATGAGTGTAGCTGCGGAAAAATAGCAGTTCGACAGATTTATATGACAGAATCCATTTCAATTACTAATCCTTGCTTCGCTTTTACACCCACGACGACCACCTCTGGCGCCGAATTCAGGTGTCGCGTACGGCCATGTTTCCAAATAAACCCCACTTGATCCCCGTGGTCAGTTTATATCTTCGCTGTGTCCATCGATGACAATGTTGGGCTGCTGCTACTACTAATGAACCTCGCAGCCTTCGAGCTTATAACACGTTGACGACAACAACAGCCCGATTATCAGAATGTGAAGTCAACCATCCGTTTATGGCAGACGTCTCGGCATAAAACGCTGCAGCTCTCTGAGCGGGGGTTATATCTGTGGTAATATAATTCCGCATGCTATATAGGCATACATTTACACATATGTCGTATACGTATTGGAAAGGAAAATACTTTACCATTTGGCTAAAAATGACGTATGTCAGACGCGTCTATGCCGATTTGTACTCGAGAGGTCGAGGTCACGAGGCGTTCTAGAGCTCTGGTGTACGATTTTAATTTTTTTTTTGTTAGGTGGTAACCGCTTATTTGGCTCTACCTGTTGTAGACATGCATGTAGGCAACGGATTTCTCTGGTGATGCTAAATACTAACAATATATATATATAAGGATGCGGCATTTAATTTCGGACATTTTCTTTGTTTCTAAGACCTTATCGAGATAAAAGCGGATACTTCAACAAATTTCCTTGCACCTTCGAAAAGTGTTATTTCTGACGGTCATATTTATTCAATATACTCACCATTCACTTAAACCACTCCTAAATATTGAACTACAGCAAGCCAAAAGTCCTAAAAATGTAGAAGCTCGAAACATTCTAAAAGATGCAAAAAAGTGAAAAGAGTCTCAAAAACGATAGCGGTTGAACCTAATGTGAACAACCCAATTGACAACTGATATTTTTCCCTCTAAAAGAACCTATCATATAGGTATCCGAAATTAAGATGTGTAAAAAACATTGTGTTGAATTGTTGAGTTCTTTAAACCTAAAAGCTTTTGAGTATCTTCCGATTCGTCTCACAGAAGTCTTCTTGAATTTTTCAGAAGTCGTATGAATAACTGGCAAGAACGTAGGCTGTTTATTTCGTATAAGAGGCAGCTTTCAATCTTGGTAGGGATTCGTCAAGCACGGAGAGAATGGACGTTAGCTGATCTTCTCTCGAATTCCAAAAACGACGCGTTCTTTCCAACTATGACGACTGTGTTGTCTTGTTCTGAAAAGAACAAGCTTTCTTATAGTACCAAGAATAGCGGATGAAGCATGCACCCTACGACAAACGGGTAAAGGACCTGCCAAGTATGTCCCAATTTACGTGCCGTAACCTAATA